TTTTTCATGTCCTCTTACAGTTTCTCTCCATTATATTCTGTAATCCAAATACTTTACTATATAAAAAACATTTTCAGTAAAAAAAAAAAAAAAAATTAAAGAAGCATTTGTGAGCTGGGCATGGTAGCACATGCCTTTAATCCCAGCACTCAGCAGACAGGTATACAGATTTCTGTGAGTTGGAGGCCACCCCAGTCTACAAAGTGAGTTCTAGACTAGCCAGGACTAAATAGTGAATGAAGCCTTGTCTCTAAAAACAAAAAATAAAGAAAATAAGTACTTGGAAGGCGTGTTTTATGGTTCATTTGTTCACACAACTAATTAACTGAATTACCACTGTGTATTAATTTGGGGCATTAGACACACAGGAGTAAGGTCAGTGTAGCGTCTGCTCATGCAACATGAACAGTGTAATAAGGAAGAGGTAGTGAATACACAACAGTATGACATCATATGAACAGTGTAATAAGGAAGAGGTAGTGAATACACAACAGTATGACATCATCCGTGCACTTTTCAAGTAGTCAAAGGCTGGAACTCAGGGGACAGAAGACAGGAGTAAAAAGACAATGAGGAGAACGTTCTCAGTCAATAATACATCAGCTTTCTGTATCCCAGGATATTGCTGATATTTATGGCTTAATTTAGAGAAAATATTGATAAAATCAAGATATTTATCAAGGTATATTTAAATAATATCCTAAGTATAGATACAAGGTAGATTTTCTTAAATAAAACTAAAATATGCAACTAAAATCCAAAAGCAGTATGAAAGCAATTCTTATTCTAAACAGAAAAAACACACAAGCTCTGATCCCAATGGCAGAGGAAATGACTCTGCTAGGAGCCCCTCTGAGTTGGAAAGATGATTCATTACAATTCTCCCCAACATAGTACTTTTGTTAATTATTTGGGAATTTTGTACAGTGCACTCCATCACACTCGATGCCTACCCCTCCCAGGTCCACCCTCTTACCCTTGCACACTACCACCACCTCCAAAAAAAGAAAAAGAGAAAGACACCAAGTTCCTTGGAGCACGGTCTAACTCCTAGTGGCCAGCCCATTGAAGAGAACTGAGTCCTTCCCCACCGCCTGCCAGAAGCCGTCAACTGTGAAGAGCTTCCCTTCGGCATCTTTATCACAGTGCTTAAGGACTCTCTTCTCTTTTTTTCAGAGGGTGGGGAAGAGGTTGTCATGGCAGCCTTCACGGTCTCTCATTCTCAGTTAGGAGTCTGCAGTCATGTATGCCACTCCCAAAGATGTCTCCCTGACCCGAGCAGGTGCCAGCAGCATGGATCATGGACATCAACGCAGCCGCTGGCAGCAACATGAACCACAGACACCAACATGGCCTCCTCCGCTGACAGCCATGACTGACAATCTTACTGAATATATACTTTTTAAAACTGCTCTCTTAAACAAGATTCAAAATTGTATGATTTTGCCACTGCACAATGTAAGCTGTAAATAAGTCATTCAAAACCAGCCAGAAAATGTGCTAGTTTTTAGTAAGAGAACTTACTCTCAGAAATTCAAAAGAATAAATCATCAGAATATGAACATTTACAGGTCAATATACCCTCTCCTTACTAAGACTTATGCACACATTTATATATTACATAAAATTCAATTTTCTTGCCTAAAAAAATGTTCATACAATAAAGTTTCCTTGAAGTATAAATTATTATTTATCTTCCTACCAATATGTATTACAAAGCAAATAACTATCCTTAACATGACAAAACACTTATAAGAAAGGAAGACGAAGGGGAAGGGAAGGTGGAGGAGAAGAGGGGAGAGGAGGGATGGGGAGAGGAGGGGAGGGGAAGGAGGGGCAGGGAAGTCCCCAGAAACAAGGATCTTACTAACTGAACTGATCTAACCAAGAATTCTAATCACTGCACCACAGCCCAAAACTTAATATACAAGTAAAACTGTTCAATCAGAGGTTTAAAAACCCACAAGGAGCAATAAAGAAAAAATATTAGAACATTGGTAATAATTGGCTTTTTCAGAAGTTAAATTCAAAAAATAGCTACATCAAGTAAAATTACTGAGTAAATTTTATACATACATATAAACAAAGAAAAATTAAGTACTTCTTACAAATTAGTTATTTGTCCATACTGACTTAATATTCATGATTAGTTTTGTAAGTAAAAAAAAAATGAGTTTAAGATCACTGTGAATAACTTAATATCAGCTTTTATAGTAACACACAACAAACATACACTTAAAAAATAAACAAATAAACAGCTACATCAGTAATACTTTCTATTTCAATTCAAAGTAACCTGGCTTTTTCCCTTCCTCTCCCAGTGCATGTCTCTCCACACAGAAGCTAACCTAGGCTTTCATGTTCTGTTCTATGGTGTCAACCAGTGACCGTCCCTAAGTTTCTGATGTGGCTGCATGAGAATGTGCTGCTCACTGAGATGTGCTTGGGGGCTGGGGAGCAGCCTGGTGAAGCATCAGATGGAGTTAACTGAAACAAGGAAGATGGAGCCACTTTGGGACATCTCATTATCTAGAAGAAGTGGACACCAGTTTGTTGGTCAACAGAGCAGGAGCTTACAGAGGTCAAGGGAGCCCGGCTTTGGCTAAGGTTTCTAGGGTCTGCGGTACCTGAACCCGCCTTATAGTTACGAGCCCAGCTTTGGCTAAGGTTTCTAGGGTCTGCGGTACCTGAACCCGCCTTATGGTTACCTCCTTCCTTTGGAATACAGAGCTGGAGAAGACGAAGGGAACAGCAGGGTAATGTCCATCCCGGACTTGGGATGGTTTTATAGATGACAGCCAAGTGGGAAAAGTCGGGTGGGAGTTCCTAGAACTTTTACCTACTAAAATATAAATGAAAAATGACACTATGTTTGGGGGTGGGGGATGTCAAAATCAGTGCCTACAGAAAACCTGGAAAATAAAGTAGCGGTTCCTGACACATCAGCATTCAACTGGCATGTTTGAACTGGCACAGGATACAAGCGGATCTGAAGAAACAGCACGAGCTGGTGTGAGCACAACCACAAGTGACGCCGATTGGCGCAGCTGCAGTGAGGTATGGTTTTAGTGTTAGTGTCAGGGTGTCGTGGTTTGGAAGAAAATGCCCCCAAAGGGAGCTGCAAGATTAGGAGGTGTGGCCTTGTTGGAGGAAGTGTGTCACTGTGGGGCAGGCTTTGAGGTCTCTTGCTCAAGCTTCCCTCAGTGTGACCCTCAGTTGACTTCCTGTTGCCTACAAGATGTAGCGCTCTCAGCTCCAGCACCACATCTGTCAGCAAGCCACCATACTCCCCACCCTGATGATAGTGGACTGAACCTCTGAAACTGTAAGGGAGCCACCCCAATTAAATGTTTTCCTTGTAAGAGTTAACATGGTCATGGTATCTCTTCACAGCAATAGAAAACCTTAACTAAGACACTAAGTAACAGATTTCCTGGCAGCTGGAATTAAGTAACTCATTCTATCTCTCTACTATAGGCAACCAAAACCAATCTCTTTGAGCTGGCAGGAAAATAATAAATCTTCATTTCTCTACCTTAGAAATACATCATTTCTAGCTCTGTATCATAGCCTCGTCTATAAAAATACTGACCAACTTTCTATCCAAGAAGGTATCCTCTGCACTGCTTAGTTTTTACTAAGTCGGTAGTTCTGATTAGTCTGGTAAGCAAAGAGGAAACTTTTAGGACTTTGGAGCAAAGCAGTCCATTGTAGCTGGAAGGTGTCTCCAGTTCCAAGTTTCTCTAGTCCCAAGTTCCTCCGTTTCCACCTGGCTCTGCGGACCCTCAGCTGCTTATAACGTAATCATTCAGAGGCTTAATATTATTTGCAACTGTATGGCCTATGGCAGGCCTCTTGCCAGCTAGCTCTTATAACTTAACCCATTTTTATTAATCTATGTTCTGCCAAGTGGCTTACCAGTCTGCTCATATGTTCTTCTTTGGGCAGCAAGCTGGCGACTCTCTGCCTCTCCTTTCTCTTCCTGTCTATCTGCTTGGATTTCTGCCTGCCTCTAAGCTGCCTTGCCATAGG